ATATTGGTTGCGCATATGACAAGTGAACATGGGTATGCTGAAATTATTTATTTTTGTATGCACCTCTCACAATTACCTGTTTTGAAGGCGTTCTTTACTCCTTTAACAATGCTCATAGTTTTTTCTGTGTCTATAGGACAAGTCCTTCCAGATGTATCAAAGAGGACTATGCAAAGGGTATTATTACCTTGTTCCCTTACCTGGCTGATCCTAAGAGCAGATTTGGCTATGTGAGTTCAAAACAGAAGTCCAACCTATTGGGGCTATGGTTTGAGTAGAACTGAAAATGTTTCTTTTTTGCATGCCCTGCATCTGTGCTACTTGTTTTTAGCTTTCCAATTTTTAAACCTTTGTAGAGTTCATTGTTCCAGTGTTGGGCTACTGCAGCTTGAAGAATAAACCTTGTGAATAGATTTTATTTATGTAATTCAAACAATGTGAACTAAAATCTGTAAATCACAGCTACTAGCATTCACGGCTGTCTTTGCTTTCACAGCTTTAAAAACATTTATCATTCACCTACTTTTAGGAGCATTATTACAATGCAGAAGATGGGAGTGGGTATCTGGCTTGGAGACTGAAGTTTGTCCAGAGAGAAGCTTCTAATGGACAAAAGAAGATCCCCAGACTGTCACAAACCCAAACAGGTATGTGTATTTATACTTGTACAAATCTCATCCTGCAACCAAACTGCACAGTAAGTTCCCAAGCCTTATTTATTAAATCCTAAGATGGAGTGTCACATTCATATAATTTTTTTTTAGGGGGACCAACAACTGACAGGGACTGTTTGAGAGAAGAAGACTGCCTTATGACAGATAGCTTGTGTTCTGAGGCCATTGCGCTGATGAAGGAACTGTTATGAGGAAGATGAAACAGACTTTCAACTATCGCCAGAAGATGATTCATGACCCAGTGAAGTCATCTAGTATCTTTTTGGACTTCCCAAGATTCCTGGACATAGGAGGACTGGTATGTTTATCTTCACTTCAGCTTAACCTACTTTTAACAAAGTTTAAGTTAAGGTGGATGTGAGAAAGTTTAATAAAATGATTTTTAAAACCTTCACTTCATCTATTCTCCAGGTTGAGCAAGATTTTATATTGATGTTTGGGGAAGTTATCGCTGCAAAGTTCCTGGAGAAGTGGCCCACTGTCTACAAGCAGAAAGTCCTCGAACAAAGCCGTGGTCTCACACAGTCTGATGACCTTCAGAACCTTCTTCACAATGCTGAAGGCACAACAGAAGTGGAAAATGGTAAGTTGGACTGGATTATAAAGAAAGTGTTTAATGTAACAGAATTTTATGTAAATTGATCCAATATAAATGCACCTCCTCCTGCCGTCACTGTTTGGTAAGCTGACTCTGGAAGTGTTAACACTGCTGCAAATAAGAAGTTTTGGTAGCTTATGTTTATTTTACTTTTTCTTCCAGGATGGGACAGTGACATGTCATCCATTTTGATCCTTGTGCACCTCCTGCCACCATCACCTCACGGCCGCAAGAGACCAGAAAACCTCTCAGCCAGACAAGCCAGTGAACATCTTGTGAAGTTTGTCAAGGTAAGGTTACAGTAAAGGGAACATTTATGTTGATCAGAATTCTCTATTCTTCACCTTTTATTGATTTATTTATTTGTATTTCTTGTGAAGTTGGTCTTAAATTTCATTTCAAGTGACATTAAAGAGGTCCTGAAAAGTAATTTGCCTTATCTATAAGAACCCTGTCTTCTTTGAAACCCAAGACTAATCATGTTTTATTCTGTTTTTGCCACAGACAGGAACCAGCATCCAGGGGCACCTTGATGGAATCGCAGAAAGGCGTCAACCATACCTGCTTGCAGTAGGGACACAGAGGAGCGTGATTCACAAGTACTTCATTGTGATTGACAAACATGCCATACCTTGTAAATCACCAGGCTCTCTTGCCTGTTTTGATGAGCTTTTTAAAGCTCACTTTGTGTTCAGCACTTCATATGACCATGATCTGGTCAATGTGTACAATTTTCTGCAGACTGCCATTTATGAGATAGATGTTGAGACAACCAAAGTGAATCCTAGGGTTGCAGAGTTGCGGGCTCGGATGCTGCGTTAAATAGTTGTTTCGCTATGATTGTTTCAGTATCAAGTTGAGTTGGAATGTTCTGTTTCATTTGTAAGAAGTACCAGACAAATGCTAATTCTCTGACCAAGCACTTAAAAGTGATCCACGGACTTTGCTCTGGTAAGACACTTCGTCTTAAATGTGGCCAGGCAGGTTGTGCTCAAGTTTATGGCACATTTTCTGGGTTCAGAAAGCATCTTAATAAAGCACATGATAAACAAACTTCTAATCCTGGTGAAGGCCCATCTACAACTGAAGAGACATTTGAAAGTCGAGATTTGCCCTCTGAGTGTTGCTTCTGATACAGTCCTGGTTCAGAAATGTCTTGTGTCTAGTTGTGCTGATTTACAGGTGTCATACAATCATGAAGATGGAAATGTTTATATTGTTCCATACGGTTTCTTGTGAACAATAAAATGGCTGTTCAAATACTGATTTCTGGTCTATGCATTGTATTACAAACTCAGCTGTGTATATTAGCTGTAAAACAATTGCTTGGTGAATGAAATAAAGTTAAAGTTGGTTCTATTTTAGAATTTTATTTAATGTTTAACTGCACAATATGGAATAAAATTCAATTAAATTAGAAGTAAAATTTTATACTATTAAGAGCACAATTTTCACTATATGGAATAAAATGTATTCTATTTTGTGTAAAATTCCTTTTTAGTCAGACTAAAAGTTATCTCTACTTAGAATAGAATGCAATTCTATTTAGAGTAAATCATATTCCACTTGGAGTTAAAATACGGTGGAGTACTTTTTATTTTAAACAACTTAGAGTAAATTCTCTTGGCAGTGATTAAAATTTTTGCACTAAATTGAGTTGATTTTACTCTGTAATTTCAACTCTTCCATGAGAGTAAATTTTACTCTATTTAGAGTGGGACCAAATGTTGTCTTTTTTAGAGTAAAATTTTTTTCAAATTGAGTAAATTTTACTCTGGAAATTTTACTGTGTANGTATCTGGCTTGGAGACTGAAGTTTGTCCAGAGAGAAGCTTCTAATGGACAAAAGAAGATCCCCAGACTGTCACAAACCCAAACAGGTATGTGTATTTATACTTGTACAAATCTCATCCTGCAACCAAACTGCACAGTAAGTTCCCAAGCCTTATTTATTAAATCCTAAGATGGAGTGTCACATTCATATAATTTTTTTTTAGGGGGACCAACAACTGACAGGGACTGTTTGAGAGAAGAAGACTGCCTTATGACAGATAGCTTGTGTTCTGAGGCCATTGCGCTGATGAAGAAACTGTTATGAGGAAGATGAAACAGACTTTCAACTATCGCCAGAAGATGATTCATGACCCAGTGAAGTCATCTAGTACCTTTTTGGACTTCCCAAGATTCCTGGACATAGGAGGATTGGTATGTTTATCTTCACTTCAGCTTAACCTACTTTTAGCAAAGTTTAGTAAAATGATTTTTAAAACCTTCACTTCAATCTATTCTTACATTGATGTTTGGGGAAGCCATCGCTGCAAAGTTCCTGGAGAAGTGGCCCACTGTCTACAAGCAGAAAGTCCTCGAACAAAGCCATGGTCTCACACAGTCTGATGACCTTCAGAACCTTCTTCACAATGCTGAAGGCACAACAGAAGTGGAAAATGGTAAGTTGGACTGGATTATAAAGAAAGTGTTTAATGTAACAGAATTTTATGTAAATTGATCCAATATAAATGCACCTCCTCCTGCCGTCACTGTTTGGTAAGCTGACTCTGGAAGTGTTAACACTGCTGCAAATAAGAAGTTTTGGTAGCTTATGTTTATTTTACTTTTTCTTCCAGGATGGGACAGTGACATTTCATCCATTTTGATCCTTGTGCACCTCCTGCCACCGTCACCTCACGGCCGCAAGAGACCAGGAAAACTCTCAGCCAGACAAGCCAGTGAACATCTTGTGAAGTTTGTCAAGGTAAGGTTACAGTAAAGGGAACATTTATGTTGATCAGAATTCTCTATTCTTCACCTTTTATTGATTTATTTAATTTATTTGTATTTCTTGTGAAGTTGGTCTTACATTTCATTTCAAGTGACATTAAAGAGGTCCTGAAAAGTAATTTGCCTTATCTATAAGAACCCTGTCTTCTTTGAAACCCAAGACTAATCATGTTTTATTCTGTTTTTGCCACAGACAGGAACCAGCATCCAGGGGCACCTTGATGGCATCGCAGAAAGGCGTCAACCGTACCTGCTTGCAGTAGGGACTCAGAGGAGCGTGATTCACAAGTACTTCATTGTGATTGACAAACATGCCATACCTTGTAAATCACCAGGCTCTCTTGCCTGTTTTGATGAGCTTTTTAAAGCTCACTTTGTGTTCGGCACTTCATATGACCATGATCTGGTCAATGTGTACAATTTTCTGCAGACTGCCATTTATGAGATAGATGTTGAGACAACCAAAGTGAATCCTAGGGTTGCAGAGTTGCGGGCTCGGATGCTGCGTTAAATAGTTGTTTCGCTATGATTGTTTCAGTGTTAATTTGAGTTGGAATGTTCTGTTTCATTTGTAAGAAGTACCAGACAAATGCTAATTCTCTGACCAAGCACTTAAAAGTGATCCACGGACTTTGCTCTGGTAAGACACTTCGTCTTAAATGTGGCCAGGCAGGTTGTGCTCAAGTTTATGGCACATTTTCTGGGTTCAGAAAGCATCTTAATAAAGCACATGATAAACAAACTTCTAATCCTGGTGAAGGCCCATCTACAACTGAAGAGACATTTGAAAGTCGAGATTTGCCTTCTATGAGTGTTGCTTCTGATACAGTCCTGGTTCAGAAATCTCTTGTGTCTAGTTGTGCTGATTTACAGGTGTCATACAATCATGAAGATGGAAATGTTTATATTGTTCCATACGGTTTCTTGTGAACAATAAAATGGCTGTTCAAATACTGATTTCTGGTCTATGCATTGTATTACAAACTCAGCTGTGTATATTAGCTGTAAAACAATTGCTTGGTGAATGAAATAAAGTTAAAGTTGGTTCTATTTTAGAATTTTATTTAATGTTTAACTGCACAATATGGAATAAAATTCAATTAAATTGGGCGTAAAATTTAATACTATTAAGAGCACAATTTTCACTATATAGAATAAAATGTATTCTATTTTGTGTAAAATTCCTTTTTAGTCAGACTAAAAGTTATCTCTACTTAGAATAGAATGCAATTCTATTTAGAGTAAATCATATTCCACTTGGAGTTAAAATACGGTGGAGTACTTTTTATTTTAAACAACTTAGAGTAAATTCTCTTGGCAGTGATTAAAATTTTAGCACTAAATTGAGTTGATTTTACTCTGTAATTTCAACTCTTCCATGAGAGTAAATTTTACTCTATTTAGAGTGGGACCAAATGTTGTCTTTTTTAGAGTAAAATTTTTTTCAAATTGAGTAAATTTTACTCTGGAAATTTTACTGTGTA